GCTCACCATGTCGAAGCACTTGACCATGTCGAGCAATGCGGCGCAGGTGTAGTTACCTATGAGGTCCCCGCCTCTTGCTCAGGATTGTGGGCAAAGACGGAGTCCGACGCAGTGCGGCTACTCCGTGTGCCCCGCATTTCGTCGCAGCGGTGTCGTCGCTGCCAGTCGGCCGACACCTCGCGCCTGGCCTTCGCCCGCGCCCAGATGAGAGTTTGGCTGGGCACTATGAGGCGATGTCCACTGTCAGGCTCTGGCAACCTTGCAATTTCGCTGCGTGGCCGCTCGGGCAGACACCGCGGGCAGCGCTCGAGAATGGAGAACATTGGACAAGCGCGTTCCACTACTCGCAATGTAGCTGCTCGCGAACGGCCTGGATCCGCCGTCGCAGGGCGACGCCGACGCCGCGCGCATTATAATTTCCGAAGGGCAGCGCGGCATCCGTCTTGCATCGCGCTAGAATCAATGAGGAAGACGAGAAAGGGCGCGAGCGAAGCGACGCGCGGGGGGCAAACGGAGGGCGAGGCGAGAGCCGCGACGGGGAGGGGGCGGGCAGAAGCGACGGGCGGACGGCCGGGAAAATGCCGCTTCCCACGTCGCGCATCAGGGAAAGTAACGCCCCGACCCGCCCCTCCCCGGCCCAATCTACTAGCTAGATGGGCACGGCCGCCGCCCTTCGATCGCGCGCAACGCCGCGGGGTGGCGCGAGCCGATGGGGGGGGGGGGGGGGGCCGGGCGCGTGGGTCACTTTACAACCAGAAGCGCACTTTACAACCAGATGGGTCACTTTACAACCAGCTTATAAAATCCAAGAAGGGCACTTTACCACCACGAAGGGCACTTTGCAACCAGGCAAGTAAAAACACATATTGAATGCACGCGTGCCTTTCCCTGAAATCTCCGTGGGCAAGCGCCAGGGTGGCTTTGGGCTCTTTGAGGCGCGTTGGTTGTAAAGTTGCCCATCGCGCACGAAGAAGCACTGCGCGCGAGTTGGCGATGCGGCGACCTGGTGCGCTATGGCATGTTGCGTGCTGGTGGGCGGATTCGAGTTTGGACGTGCTCTCTAAGCTCTGTCGGTCAGTTATGCCATTGCTTGCCCTCTCTCTCTCTCTCTCTCTCTCTCTCTCTCTCTCTCTCTCTTTTTTATTTATATATATATATATATATCCTTTTTTTTCCTTCTGACGGGCGAAGGCTAGTCGCGCAGGACATACGAATAAACCATGATCCCGTCCAAGACTGGAGCTGCATGGCAGTGGAAAGCTGTGGTGGGAGATGTGGTGGAAGCGGGGGCTACAATGGGAACTGCATGGTGTTGGGAAGCTGCGGTGGCAACTGTGGTGGTCGCCAGGCAACGGTGGGAACTGTGGTGGTAGCTGGGCTGCAATGGGATTTGCGATCGTAGCGGGGGGTCAGTCGGAATTGTGGAGGTAGCGGGGCTGCAGCGGTAAGTGTGGTGGTAGCAGGCACAGAGGTGGCGGTGATGCGCTGTCACGGTGGCTCAAGCTGCTGCGCTGGCACGGTGGCTGAGGCTGCTGCCCGAGCACGATACCTGCGTTGTTGCGCTGGCACCGTGGCTGACGCTGGAAGAAACGATCTTCGAAATAGTTGCATTTATTCGGGACGTTGAACCTCGATCTTCCAAGACGAGGAGCAGCAGGGGGCCAACTGGAGCGGGCGCACTTAGCCCCTTGCAGAACACCGTGGGGCTTCAGGGGCCAACGTGGCCCAAGAGACCAGCGGTGCCAATGGCCTAGTTCCCTGGAGCGCTGGGCCCTTGTGGAGGCCACTGGGCTCGCTTCCTGTGAGTGATCCCTAAAATGGGCAGCGCGTCGCCCTGAGCCTTCCTACGTATGCTGTCGCCTTATTCCCGTGCGAGCACGGGGCCCTTGTTGAGGCCGCTTGGCCCCTGCTAGCAAGCCCTGTCTTAGTCTGCTGGGCTCAGAGCGCCAGAGCGTCCAGGCGCTCGGGCTCAGAGGCATCGCTGGGGCCTGCTCAGAGCGTCCAGGCGCTCGGGCTCAGAGGCATCGCTGGGGCCTGCGCAGAGCGTCCAGGTCCTCGGGCTCAGAGGCATCGCTGGGGCCTGCGCAGAGCGTCCAGGTCCTCGGGCTCAGAGGCATCGCTGGGGCCTGCGCGGGGCGTTCAGGCGCTCGGGTTCAGAGGCATCGCTGGGGCCTGCGCAGAGAGTTCAGGCGCTCGGGCTCCAGAGCGCCCACGTGCTCTGGATCATTTTTCAGAGCGCCCGCGCGCCCTGGAGCACTTTTGAGAGCGCCCACTTGCTCTGGGGCATTTTTCAGAGCGCCCAATTGCTCTGGGGCATTTTTCAGAGCGCCCACTTGCTCTGGAGCACTTCGCGGAACGCCCAAACACGCGCGGCCACTCTGAGCTGGTTGTAAAGTAAAGTGGTTCTGGTTGTAAAGTGGTCCGTTCTGGTTGTAAAGTGGGCCGTTCTGGTTGTAAAGTGGTCCGTTCTGGTTGTAAAGTGGGCCGTTCTGGTTGCAAAGTGGACGTTCTCGATGAGAAAACATACTTTCCAATCCTATGTTGGTTGTAAAGTAACCCATATGGTTGGAAAGTGGTTGTTCTGGTTGTAAAGAGACCGAACCGAATCTCGGGGGGGCGGAGGGGGGGGGGGGGGGGCGGGCGCGCGGCGCGGTGGAGGGGCGAGGGGGGGGGCGGACTGGCGAAGGGCGGGGGGGGCAAAACGTCAGTGTCCACCGAGGGCGAGATGGTGCGGCGCATCGACAACGCCTGGCGCCAGATCCGAGACGACGCGCAGGTCGCGCCCGCGCGGCAGAGGCGCGCCCGCGAACGCGCGCATATCCCCACTAGAAAGTCGCGCGCGCGCTGACGCTCGCAGTTGTCCTGTCCGGGCGACGGTCTGGCCGCGCGCGCGACAGATAGTTGGCGCCCGCCCGCGCGCGCCTTTGGGTTCAAGCGCGCGTCGTTCTCGCCGAGCGAGCGCCCGCGCGCGGCGAGGCTCTCCGGGCTCGCGAGCCACTGCCCCCGTGGACCACGAGGCGACCACGCAGAGACGATCGACTGGGCTCTGGGCCGCTCGCTCGCGGCCGAACCCCCCGGAGGCGATCGCCCCCCCCCCCCCCCCCCGTCGGGGCCCGACAGAGGTCCCCGGCGCGCCCCGCCCCCCCCCCCGACAAGCCGCAGACAGACGCGGGAGACATCCCCGAGCGGCAACGCAACGTCCGCGCGACGCTTGAGCCGCGGCGCGCCGCCGCGCGGCTGCGCGGCCTCCTTGATCGCGCCGGCGAGCGCGCGTTGAAGCACTGCTCGACGCTTGTGGTTCTACCGCCGCGCGACCCCCGTGCCCGACCCCGCTGGGGAACTGCGCGTGACGACGCGGGCTCCCCCAGCAACGCTCGGCGCCCGCGGGCGGGCGCGCCCGGGAAGCGCTCGCGGGCCCCCGCGCCCTGGCGGGAACCCGACCGGCGGAAGAAGGCACAAGCGGAAATGGGCGAACGGCCCCGACGCGCGTTCCGCGCGCGGAAGGGCAAGGCCGACGCGCGCCCGGCGAGGGGGCGCGCAGCGGAAAGCGTTGCGCGGGCGACATCCCCCTCTCAGGCGACTCCGCGAGCCTGCAAACCCGCCTTCTGCCGCCAGCGACGGAGTCTGACCAGCAGGCCCCTGGCAAGCGAACGCCGCGCGGCACTCCTCGGGCGGCCATGCTCGCGCGTCAACCTCGCGGGCGGATCAGCCTGGGGGCGGCGTTCCACGGTCGGGCGCCCCTGTTCGTGCATATCAGCGCGCGGGATTTGACCCGGGGCGCCGGGCGCCTGGGCGCCCCGCCCGACGAGCGGCCCGCGCGCCCCCCCTTCACCCGCGCGGGGCGGACATTCTTTTGATTTCATGTGCCCGGGGGCGCGCCCCTCCAGATGGCGCCGCCGAGGCGGTGTTTCCTATACTTTATGTAGAAGCGTCCTCGGGGCGGGAAGTCCATGATTCTCGTCTGCCCCGCAGCGCGCTCACCCCATGTCCCACCTCTGGGGTCGCGTGCTTTCTGCCCCGCATGCAAATCAAAAGCGCGTCTTAGGTTTTGCCGGAGCGGGCGATTCCTCCGATTTCGATTTTTCCGAATGGCGCCGCTGACGTCACGCTCGTCGCGATGAGTCCGACGAGACCGCCCGCGCCTCCGCGGAGCGGGCGCTGGCTGAATTGTCGCTCGCCGGGGCGCCATCGCGCGCCGAGCCGAGCGGTTTCGGCGCCCCCGGGCCCCTCTCCAGGCCCACCAAGCTGCGACTGACGCAGGCGGAAACTGGTCCGAGCTCGGGCCGGCGCCGGGGCCAGCCGCGGCGAGCTCGGCGGGCCCGCGAGAGGCAACGGGCAGATCGCGTTCGCCGCGCCCGCCGCGCCCGCGAGGCTCGCCAGGCTCGCCCGGCCCGCGAGGCCCGGCCCCCAGAGGGCCGCTCGGCCATGGGGGGGTGATCGAAGCCAGGCAACCCCTGGAACACCGCTCTTGGGTTGCTGGCTGCATCCTGCTCCTCCTCCTCCTCCAATTCTTCCAGTTCCTCCTCCCGCCTCCTCCCTCCCGCCTCCTTCCGCCTCCTTCCGCCTCCTCCCTCCTCCTCCTCCCGCCTCTGCCTCCTCCTCTGCCTCCTCCTCTGCCTCCTCCTCCTCCCGCCGCCTCCTCCCTCCTCCTCCTCCTCCTCCGCCTCCTCCTCCTTCTCTTCTCTTCCTCCTCCTCCTCCTCCTTCCTCCTACTCCTCCTCCTCCACCTCCTCCGACTCCTTCTCTTCATCTTCGCTCCCTCCTCCTCCTCACCTCCTCCTCCTCACCTCCTCGTCCTCCTCCTCCTCCTCCTCCTTCCCCTCCTCCTCCCTCCTCCTCCTCCTCCCACCTCCTCCTCGTCCTCCTCTCTCTTCCTTTCTCCTCACCACTCCTCCTCCTCGTCCTCATCCTCCTCCTCCTCCTCCTCCTCCTCCTCTCCCTTCCCCCTCCCCCTCCTCCTCCTCCTCGGCCCCGCGCAGCCGAGCTGCGCTCCTCCGCACGACGCCCCGGCCGCCCGAGTTCCCGGCCACGCCCTCGGCGTCGCCCTCGGCCCGGGGCGCCGCCGCGGGCTCCTGCGCCGCGGGCGCATCTCGTCGTCGTCGTCGTCGTCGTCGTCGTCGTCGTCGTCGTCGTCGTCGTCGTCGTCGTCGTCGTCGTCGTCGTCGTCGGCATCGCTGTCGGCGTCAGCGTCGTCGGCGTCGTCGTCGTCGGCGTCGTCGTCGTCGTCGGCGGCGGCGTCTTTGGGATCGAGGTTCGAAAAATAGACCGAGGAGCGGAGAGGACCGAGGATCGAGGAGGGCCGAGGATCGAGGATCCCGAAGAGGACCGAGGACCCGAGAGGATCGACGAGGCTCGAGGCTCGAAGAGGACCGAGGGTCGACGAGGACCGACGGTCGAAGAGGGCCGACGACCGGGGGAAGGCGGCGTCGGCGTCGCGAGCGCCGGCGGTGGCCGTCGTGGGCGTCGGCGTGCCCAGCCGTGGGCGACGTCCGCCCCTCGGCGCCGAGCGCGCTCGGCCAGCGTCCTCCTCGTCCCGCCTCCTCCTCCTCCTCCTTCTTCCCTTCCTCCTCCTTCCCTTCCTCCTCCTCCTCCTCCTCCTCCTCTCTCCTCCTCCTCCTCCCCTCCTCCTCCTCCTCCTCCTCCTCCCTCCTCCTCCTCCCACCTCCTCCTCCTCCTCCCTCCTCCTCCTCCTCCTCCTCCTCCCTCCTCCTCTCCTCCTCCTCCTCCTCCTCCTCCTCCTCCTCCTCCTCCTCCTTCCCTCCTCCTCCTCTCTCTCCTCCTCCTCCTTCTTCTCCTCCTCCTCCTCCTCTTCTCCCTCCTCCTCCTCCTCCTCGGCCACGTCGCAAGTTTATCCCGCCCAACAGACCGTGGTCACCACCTTGCCAAGGTTGAGCAACACTGTCAATGCCTCGCTCTCTCCTGGGGCTCTGCTGCGTGCCTGCTCGACAACATTTTGGCCATGTGCGGAGCGTTGCACCGTCAATGCCACGCTTTCCTGTGGCTTTGCTGCGTTCTTGCTCGCAACGCACACCGCCAGAGGCGGCGGAGAGCTTGAGAGATCCATCCACAAAAAGCCCAGAGACCCGACGCTCCCACATATGTTTTCTTTTCCCAGCCAAGAGGACGCTGACCCACTCAGCACACCAATGGACCAATGGCGACCTCACCGTGCCCGTGAGGTGTACCACGAGGTCTGGCCATAACAACAGCGGACAGCAAATCGTGTCGGCCACCCCAGCGCTCCCAAATCCAAGGCCGCTTCCCAGATCCTCAGATGAGCGACGATCAAAAACGGATCTGTATGTGAGAGGACACAGCTCGCCATCGCTCGGACGTCCATTCCCTGTGTTTTTTTCGGTTTCGTGCGTGGTTTTTTCGCCAGATGATCAAGGATGCTCCTCGATGGCCCTCGCCGAGAAAAAAATGCACACGTCCGAGCGATGCCAGGACACGGATCGCAGCCGAGGCCCGCTGTGGCCGGGAGGGCCCTTCTCGGCCTTTGTTTATGACTGCACCGACCCTGCAGACGCGCTGTAGCGGCTTTTTGGCGTGGATTTCTGTCAATGCAGACCCCTCGTCCTTGTGCTTTTCTTTCTCCTCGTTGTCCTCGTGCTCCTCCTCGCGATCCTCACGTTCGCCACGTCGTCCTCGTCATCGACTCCTCGTTGTCCTCGCCTTCCTTTTCTTCTTCGCCCAATGCGCCCATTAGACTACAGCGGCGCTTCCCGTTCTTGTCCGATCAGGTTTTTGGCGTGGATTTCTGTCAATGCAGACCCCCGAAGAGGCCAGCGAAAGACGAAGCGAATTCCACGTGGTCGGTGTGTCTTCATCCCTGGCCAACAAAAAATCCGCACGACATTCGCTCCGAAATCCGGAACGAACTTCTCTAGGAGACTCCCGGCCCGCCCCAGTGTTTTCTGAGCGGAGTCCGCTCTGCGGTGTTGGCGCCATGACTTCCAGGGCTCATGTTGGCAGCGCCGTGGCTGCATGGCCGTACAGTGAGGGTCTTGACCTGAGGAACCCAAAATGAGGAACGAGGCCCCTTTTGTCCACAAGTGAACCCTCGGTCCCCCATCGAAAACACGAGGGAAACCTGAGGCAAGCTGTGAAGTCATCGAGGAACACAGAGCCCCTCCCCAACGAAAAGGGTTCCTTCTGCAGGGCCCCGACTGTACCCGCAGACCCCGACGCCGTGCTCTTGTTCGCGGCGTCGGCCCTCAAAACAGATTGGAGCGGGAGCTCTTTCTGGCCGTGCTCGGCCTCCGGGGGCCCTCGCCGGGCCTCGGGAGCGTCGAACAACGACCCAGGGCGAGAAACCGAACTCCAGGGGCCCTCGCCGGGCCTCGGGAGCGTCGAACAACGACCCAGGGCGAAACATCGAACTTAGGGAAGTGGTCCAAACCCCCAGGATCCACGCAGCGGGAGCTTTCTGGCCGTGCTCGGCCTCCAGGGGCCCTCGCCGGGCCTCGGGAGCGTCGAACAACGACCCAGGGCGAACAATCGAACCTACAGTCGGGGCGTTGACCTAAGGAACCCGAAATAAGGAACGAGGCCCCTTTTTTCCATCAGTTAGCCTCCGATTTCCTGTCGAAGACCTAAGGAAAGCCTGAGGCAAGCTGTGAAACACTTAAGGAACACGGAGCCCCTCACCAACAAAAAGGGTTCCTTCTTCAGGGCCCCGACTGTAGGGAAGTGGTCCGAACCTCCGGGATTCACGCATCGGGAAAAACCGGAGCAGCATCGCTGCGTTTTCCACACGCAGGGTTCCATGGTCGACTCGGCGAACAGAGGGAGGAGGGCTCAGCTCCGTGGGAGGGGATGGGGGCGAGAGGCCTGATGTCGAATATGGCGCGAGCGCAACAATATTGCGTCTCTCCCCTCTCTCTTCCCTCCCTCCCTTCCGCCTCCTCCCCCTCCTCATCCGCCTCCTCCTCCTCCTGCCCCTTGTCTCCAGCCCCTCCTTTTTCCCCTTTCCCTTCCTCCCTCTCTTCCCTCACTCTCCCGCCCCTCCCTTCCCTCACGCCCTCCTCCCCCCCAACGTCTCCCCCTCTCCTGGGGGGGCCGAAAAGATACTTTCCGATACCACTGCTCCCCAGACCTCCCGAGGGTGCGCTTTGACCAGGGCGCCGAAGATCGCCGAGGCGTGACCACGAGGGCTCTCCAGCACGGACCGCAGCGGCATCGGTCGGTCATTTCTTCTGCTGCTCGTCGGCTAGTTGCAAGCGTTCTGTACCGATCCCCTCGGGCTAAACATGCCCGCTCCTCCTCCTCCTCCTCCTCCTCCTCGTCGTCGTCGTCGTCGTCCTCCTCCTCCTCCTCCTCCTCCTCCTCCTCCTCCTCCTCCTCCTCCGCTGAACATGCCCACTTTGGCACGGCACCTCTTGTCCGGGGACGCACCCCTGCAATGCGCCCCGATGGCTTCGGCACCGTTCCACTGTACGGCGACAGTTGGCCAACAGTGGACAGAAAGCAGCCCACGCCTTCCGTGGTGCGTTGCCGTGAAGGAAAGCCTTGCCGCATCGCCACTTGTGCCGACCCTTTCCTTGGGAAGTACGCGCCTTGCCATCGCTCGGACGTCCATTTCCCGTGCATGTTTCGGTTTCGTGCGTGTTTTTTGTGCTCGATGGTCCAGGATGGTCCGCGATGGTTCACGCTGAGGAAACATGCACACGTCCGAGCGATGTCAAGGGACTGGACGCCCTCGCCCCCGCGATCGCAGCACCGAGTGGAGCGCAGGACGGCGGAGTTCGCTTCTTGAAACTTGTTGCGCTGGCGTGGTGCCGTCGGCCGCGACTCCGTAGTGCTGCAGCTTCCGTCCCCGCACGCGCGCCAAGACGGTTGCAGATTTCTGCGTGCAGCAGCTTGTCCAGAGCCGACACACAGCTAGCAAACTACTGGTGCAGAAAGCTGTGGAGAATCTTCGGTTGGCAACCTTTTGTTTGCCAACAGCTTGCAGGCATGCTGTGCCACACCCCTCGAACTGAACATGCCCATTTTGGTAGAGCACCTCTTGTCTGGGGACGCAGGCTGACAAGGCGCCTTGATGGCTCCTGCAAGGTCCCATTGATTGACGACGCTTGGCCAAGAGTGACAAACCTAGGGCTCCCAACTTCGCGCTTCGCGCTGCGCGCTGCGCGAAGCGCGAATAGCTTCGCGCTCTCGCGCCGCCCTCCCAAAGGGAGAATAGGAGGACGAGGAGGAGGGGGAGGAGGAACGAGGACCGCGAAGCGCGAAGCGCGAATCACTTCGCGCCCTCGGGGGAGCCCTTGCAAACACACGTTTCCTCTGTAACCCGCGCGGGTCTCTCGGATCGGCGATGGCTCCCCCGCTCCCCGGCGCGGAACGCGGAACGCGGGGATCCCAGCTCCAAGACATCCCGCGCGGAGCTCGGACAGTCGTGTTTTTTTCCTCGGTATCCTCCTCCTCCTCCTCATCATCGTCCGCCTCCTGCTCCTCGTCCTCCTCCTCCTCCTCCTTCTCCTCCTCCTCCTCGTCCCCCTCCTCCTCCTCCTCCTCCTCCTCCTCCTCGATATCCTCCTCCTCCTCCTCATGCTCCTCCTCCTGCTCCTCGTCCTCCTCCTCCTCCTCCTCCTTCTCCTCGTCCCCCTCCTCCTCCTCCTCCGCCTCCTTCTCCTCCTCGATCTCCTCCTCCTCCTCCTCATGCTCCTCGTCCTCCACCCCTCTTCCTTGCAGATCGCTCCTCCCTGTCGCACCCCGAGACGGCCTGGTAGGGCAAACCGGGCGTTTCGCCTGAGACATCCTCTCCACTTGTGATCCTGAAACTTAGCCTGCAGCAGTTGCACAGATGGAGGGCGGATGGTTTTCAACACGTGCCTCTCGCCCCAGCGCCGCGCACTTTCGTCTCTCAAGTTTGCAGGATTTTCACGGATGGCGGGCGGGTGGGTTTCAACATGTGGTCTTCGCCTCAGCGCCGCGCGGATTCGCTTGTGAAATTTGCAAGAGATTTGCGGATGGAGGGCGGGCTTCTTCAAAAAAATGC